ACGACACGATACAACGACACGAGCTACCACGACACGATATGAATATGGGGGTTTAACAAAATGTTCGGGAATGTTATTGTTATGATAATAACGCCTAATAAAGAGACAAAGCCGGGCTAAATTACGCCGAATCGCGATTTTAGGAAGGTTGAGCTGAGAGTTAATTAGTGTAACACTGGCCATGCGGTAACAATCGGACGAGATCAAGTGAACTGAACAATTATAGATCGCGTCCAGTTCATGTGTGAATGTAGTGTCACCAGGATTCCAGATGGGTAATGCTTATTCAAGCGATGGACGAATGTAGGTACTGCAAACTAACTTCTTAACCCTTTGTAGGGCAACGGGAATTACCTGTCTCATTTTTTGTTCCCCACAGAATTGCTCGTGAGAAACAATGAGACGCATCAAGCTCTTTTTTTTGTGCTGCCGTCTACATTGAGGTTTTTTACACTTCCTTTGAATCTCGTTTGAAAGCTGTACAATAGGTAGCGTTAGGTGTACACTATTTTCAAAATTGTGTTTTTTGTTTCACCAGCGGCACGAATTTCCGCACTGTGAGTCTCCGGAAAAGAATAATTCAAGATGCCAAGTGAGTGTACCCTTTTCTGTGCTTCGAAAGAAGTAGTTCCAGCTTGTAATAATCGGGTGTTTTCGACAATAGAATCAATGCTTACTCCTAAAAGCTTTTTCGAATGGTGCCAAGGCAAAAACAGCATGACGATGGATAAGCGTATACTGCCACTGCTGGCTGCATTCGATGTGTAGTGAAACATTTGACCGACTCTTTTGTTTTCTGTTTGCTTGTAAAAACGCAGGTAAACGATTGCTGACGCGAGAGGAAGCACTGGAATTATATTTTAGCCTTCCTGACGACCATACTTCGAGTGATTCCGACAGCGATTCGGATGAAGACTTCACGACCGAGCTCGCTCCACCTGATTCAGATGAACAAAGCTGTGAAGCCGAAGCGGCGGAATCAACGAGGAAACCACAAAAGCGAAAGGCTACCTATTCAAGATAATAACTTCCCTTATACCATCCTTGGCATTATTGTGAAGTGGGTGAAAAGATAACTTGCCGTTGCCAAGATCCGAACCTGCAACCTTCGAATAACGCGTTCGATGCTCTACCCTGAGCTACCACGGCGGCTATCCTCCCAGTCACATATTTTGTATATATCTGAATATAAATGGGGGAGCGTCACTCAGCGCCCTCAGTAGCCATGGCATCGAGTGTGGCACAATCCTTATGAGTCTGTCTGGTGTCACATAGCACGTGAACTTATTACCAGCTGGCAGCTGACCAATAGTCCTTTGCATACAACCTAAGGCACAAATTTCGCCAGCACGAGACTCTCGTTAATAAGTAAGGAAAAGAAGTGTATACATAACGGCTCGTTGTTCAGGCGTTTTGACACAATATTTTGAGATCTAACAGACAATAACGCCAAGGAAAGTATAGGGGAAGTCATTAGACCAATTGTAATGTCAGTGTGAAGAATGAAAAGTGGGTGAAAAGAGAACTTGCCCTGGGCAGGGGCCAAACCTGCGACCTTCGAATAATGCGTTATTAGGAGGTCGGAGGTTCATATATATATATATATATATATATATATATATATATATATATATATATATATATATATATATATATATATATATATATATATATATATATATATATTGTTCTTTATTTTTGTTTTTTCCTAAAACTGTCCTTCGCTTGGTGTTGAACATGTGTACTACTTGCCTTAACGCTACTGCTATATTGCTTTTGTTGACACAGTTGATAAATAATCTGTATGTATTCTTCAGCAAGCTATTAAAGTTTCGTTGTTATGCATATTTATGAATTGTTCTTTTCAATTTGTGACATAAAACATGCCCCTAACTTTTGTAATGTCAAAATCTTGAGGATAAAATAAATAAATAAAAATAAAAATAAATACTTCGTGCAATAGGTACTCCTAATAACAATTCAGATTCGGACCTATTTTGTGCACCTATGAAACGCGTTATTTACAGTCTACTGTCCCGCATGCGTGTGGAAGCGTTGGTTCTGGGAGGAGAGGTCGCGCCAGAGTGGGCGCGAGGTGAACTAGGCCCATCCTACCACTTCGGCGGCACCCAGCAGTCCACACTTTATTTTTTCTCTAGCGGCCGTGGTATTAAACTCACAATTGACTCCATTTTGGTCTGAATTTATTATTGTGAAAAACTAACACTACAATAAACAATGACATAAAAGTAGTGGTTGTTCTGACAACATTTATTGAGTTTTGAGACGAACATGATGTCTTTGGCGTCAAACAACTAATGACCTTATCCTTTCAAACAGTTGGCGACGATCTCCGATTAAGTACTCTATTGGCAAGAAATGCCGCCCCGTTCAGCCTCACTGGGACTTTTTTGGCCTGTAGGGCGCAGCAGGGCCGCTTGATGGTAGCCCAGTATGGCCGCCTCCCAGTCCTCCTGAATTCGGTTAGTGATAATGGAAAAGGCCCGATCAGAGATGGCCACAACTGGAACTCTATATGCAGCATTGGTGTAGCATGCAATCCGCTGGTACACTTAGTAAACTTGCTCCATAATCCAAAGAAATATTTTTCCGCTTGCCATTTTTCACCTAGTCATTTCCCGTCCGCAAGGCTAGAAATCCTCGCTAGTGCTCTCAGTTACCTCGGTGAGTACGGCATATGTGCACGTCTACTCATTTCGTAAAATGGCGTTTAATAGCTTTTTGGCACTTAAACCAAAGCGAAAATGCCAGCATATGATGCTATACACTGAGGGCTTTGCATCGAATTGTTTCGCATAATGTGTTATAATCTCCATATTTCCACAAATTGGAGTGTCATTTTTTGTTCTCATTTGGCTGTCATATGTGCTTCGTGAATGTAGAACTCACTGATTTATTGCAAACAAAATTTCGTTTATTGCGGCAGCGCATTTTTCTGTGGGTGTTGTCACTTTTACTCGCTAATTTTATAGAAACATGATTGACCAGCATTTTCATCCGCAAGCAACCACTTCCAAAATAGCGTTTATTTTCGTAAATGACCCATCATAGACATGCGTTTCATACATTGCCTTCAATACTCGTACAACGTAGTTATTCCCAATGTCCTGCAGTATTCATTATTAACGCCGATTACTTCTTAGTCAGCTTAAGGCCTCCTAACTTAATTTTGGTCATTCAGATTTCTGCAAGATATCCTTAGTAGATGCCATATAAAATGGTTTATTCAAAATGAAGTGGCACTGGAACAAAGATTTTGCCTATTTTTCTTGAAGGTAGGAACAGTTACTGCCTCGAAGAATATATTACATATGCCAAATCTTCAGCCCAACCTTATTAACCCTTCTATGATTTCTAATCACTTCAAACCACCTCTTGCCATGAACTACCTTATGCATAGTAAGTGTTGCACCTTCTAAAAAACTTTGTAATTTTTTTCGGTAACCTGACGCTGTCAGGCTGATGATGATCAGGATGATGATCATGAATGTTGCTGAGACAGTTTGTGAAATTTTGATTTAGACACTGCTTCACAGCAGCAAATACGTTCTTCAACTATGAAATTCTAATTACTAATTTATGTGTAACAGTGACTCACCTGTTTGCTCGACGCTATCAGTTCACACAAAAATGTCCCAGTGTAACAACTTTTTATTATTTGATTGATATGTAGTGTATACCATCCCAAAACCACCATATGAATAGAATTTTTTTATTTCGGATAACAGCTTTTTTGAATATGAGTGATATTCGATATTTCTGCTTAATTGCGCATTTCAAAACATGCGTGAGTTCAGCAGTCATCACCATCCCAACCTTGAGTCAACAAATTTCTTATGGCTTGTGCAAAACTAAAACACTTGATGCCGTTGTGAGCTGGAACGACTGGTGTGTTGGCAAGACGGTATTCCATATTGCTACTGGCTCTTTGCTGTTGTAAAAACAAAGATTTTGCTGCAATCTACCTAAGCTGCTGAAAGCCATATCACAAGGCTACTAGGTTTCCATAAAGTACTGTAAAAAAATGATAATCAGTCGAAATATATATATATATATATATATATATATATATATATATATATATATATATATATGAAAGTAGATGCGCTTTCACATAACAACTGTTTATTGTGCCGACGTTTCGACAGGAACCCTGTCTTTTTCAAGGCATAATACTATTTACACAAGTTCCGTGCCTTTTTATATCCTGTCGAGACAGGAGGGGAGGGGTCAATTGAGAGAGAGAGAGAGAAAAAGAAGAAGAAACAGCGAAACGAAGGACAAACATTAAATAAAATATAGAAAATCTTTGAGAAGAAGCAAGACCAACACGGCGTAATTAGAAAGGGGCAGCATTTCAACAGAGTAGGGCAGAGGTAGATGAGGAATGTCATCATTATCAACAATACCTCCCCCGCACCCACACTTCCCCAAGTGGGCAGGCAGCCGCCGTTTTTGTATTTCACCTTTCCGTGTAGTCCGCTGGCGGCTCGTTCCTCTTTGAAGTGTATGACAAGTTAATGGGGAGGACTTAAGCGCTTTAAGTGCATGCTGGTGGCGTCGGGAGGAGCGAAAAAGCCGGTGAATGGGGCACCGCCATCGATATTCATTATATGCATTGGCTCCTTGTCAGTGAAGGAACAGAATGGGCGTTAAATATTAAAAAAGGAGAATATATATATATATATATATATATATATATATATATATATATATATATATATATATATATATATATATATATATATATATATATATATAGGTATTCGTTACACTGCATGAGCGTAGAGATTCCGGCTGTGTGGCAATAAATAAGTAAGTGTAACACTGACAGTTTCTAATATAGAATGCCATCTAGACTATTTCACGCGGGCACTATTCGCACTTGAAATAAATACCAAAACAGATGGAGAGAAAATGTCTGTTATTTTTCGCTTAAGTTTTTATATAACTGCCAGCATATACATGTTTATTTTCAGGTACTGGTTGGCAATTGATGCTCTTCGTAAAGCCAATAATAACGAGGACAACGATACATTCAAGCAGCGTCGTAGTGACTTGCAGTTGTTCGTACTTTACATGACCCTTTTGAAGTCTGCACCACAGGCTGTCTTCCAGTTCTACGTCAAGTTGGATACTGATGGCTGGAATACTTTCACAGGTTTGTTCTCTTGAATACGCTGTTAAATTAACGTTGCTTAGCCTTACAAAGGGTTGATAGTTCCGTGCTCTATTTGTTTGTCTGCTAGTTGTACTTGTTGAAGTGCTTTCGATTTAGTGTGTGCGAGTGTTACGGAAAATTCAAGCAATGTCCTGTGCAGAGAGCTCCCAACTGTTGTTCTTGTTGTCCATTTGTTTTGATGAGGCTGAAAATCGGGCCAACTTCACCATAGTCGTACAAAGATGGAGAAACCAACATACACCTCGTGACGTTCCTTCCTCCTCACTCTCACTTCCTCCTCACTCTCCTCACGCATTGCTGTGTTGATGTGTTCAGCTTCGAGTCTGACAAAAACTGTCTATGACGAACGCTCATCTAAATAAAAAATTGGGGGACCCTTAAGCATCCCCTTTAAGAGTTGAACGCGAGAGCGAAATCCAGTCCCTAGTGCACCCTTCAACCACTGAGTGCATACTTATTCTTATAATTTTGTTACGTACACACGCACGCACAGAAACACGCACACAGTGGCTTCGACCAGCACGCGCCACTGTCGCCGAACGGGGTCGTTTTCGTCATGACACCTGCCGAACAAAATGCGTTAAAGGGGCCCTGAAACACTTCTTCAAGTAACCGTGGATTGCATTTACTAGAAGAGCTTATTGTCTTACGAATCCTACGCCGCTAACATTTCAAGAATCCTTCCAGTGCGAGTGAAGTTACAAAGAATTGTCGCATGCTGCAAATGCATTATTTCTTCTCTCGTCCCGATGAGAGTGCTAGAAGGCAAGCAGAGAGGGCTGGCATGGCAAAAAAAAAAACAAAAAAACCCCACGCTTCATGACCTTGAGCACTTTTTTCTTTGATGGCATGGTTTCTTCAGTGTGATCGCGTGCGCACGCGTGGACAACTAGCGGCCTCCCGCGGCTATCTCGGTTACTTGATTTTTCGGTCAAGGACAGATGATTTTTCGCTCACAACGAATGGAGCCGATGCCGGCAGACACTACGGATGAACTCGCGCGAGAACTTTGTGACCGCTACATCTGCCGCACAATTGATCCCGCAGGCCCAGCATATACGTATTCCGGCGCCCCTAACACCGACCTCGACCCCCATACACGCTTTCTGATTTACGATTTGCACTCACGAAAATGCGACGGGGCACGGCCCCTGGACGCGACGGTATCAAAGTATCGCTTCTGGCAAATATTCCCGACCAAGCACACCTCTCGCTACTCCACCTTATAAATTCGATATGAGACGGCTCTCCGCTTACAACAGAATGGACCACATCGGTCGTGACATTCATTCCCAAATCGGCAAAGTTCGTTAGCATTGAGGCACTGAGACCCATCTCACTTACGTCTTGCGCAGGCAAACTCATCGAAACCATAATTCGCGAACGCCTTTCCGCCTACTTGGAGGCCAGGAGGACCTTTGCCGACACGATGTTTGGCTTTCGCCCGCATCTGTCGGCGCAGGACGTCCTGCTCCAGCTTCAACACGATATCCTAGAGCCGACTACTATGCGCCATAACGTTAAAGACATGCTCACTCTCGATTTCCGCGGGGCGTTCGACAACGTCAAACACAGCACTATACTCACTAACCTGTCTACCACAAACTGTGGTCAGAAGACTTTCAACTACATTCGCGCCTTTCTATCACATCGCACCGCCTTCATTCGCCCTAATTCTACCGAACACGGGCCGTACTTATTAGGCACGCGGGGTACACCTCAAGGGGCAGTCCTGTCCCCTCTGCTTTTTAACCTGGCGAGGATGAACCGCCCCTCTCTTTTAAGCGAGGTCGAGGGAATAGAACACGCAGTATATGCGGACGATATCACAATCTGGACCAACACCGGCCCCTTAGCGCAAAGCGAAGAACGCCTGCAAAAGGCCGCCCTTCTGGTGGACCCCTACGCAGGTTCATGCGGCCTGGAGTGCTGTCCAGCTAAATCGGCTCTTCTTTCAGTCTCTCCGCTACCGCCACCTCAAATTTTTCTTCCGTCTGGGCCCGTCCTGTCAGTGCAAATTATTCGGGTTTTCGGCCTTCACCTCACATCGTCCTTGGATCCAAACGGCACAATAGCAGGCTTTTGACGCACCAGCGAACAAGTGAGCCGCATGATACAGCGAGTTTCTACCAAGCGCGGCGGCCTCCGCGGGTCTCAGTCCCTCCAATTGGCCCACGCGTTTTTGACCAGTCACGTCCTCTACGCCTTGCCTTACCTTCACCTGCGTCGTCGACACAAGCACCAGCTGGACGTCGTTCTTCGTTCAGTATACAAACGCGCTCTGGACCTACCTATTGCAACTTCCTACAGCCGATTCGTGGCTCTGGAGGTACACAACATCTTTGCAGAGATGCGCGAAGCTCATCGCGTTAACCAAATCAATCGACTGTCGCAGACGCCTTCAGGGCGCCGTCTTCTACACAGACTTGGCCTTAACCCGATATCTGACCAAGACCCTCTGCAGCCAGTACCAGAGCTCTGGCGTCAAAAGCTATGGGTGGAACCTCTACCCCGTAATATGAACCCCGACCTCCATCCTGGCCGTAGACTAGCACGCGCCGCGGCCCTTCATACGCGACAATCCGATCGTCCTGGTGTTTTCTACGTGGACGTCTCGGGTCTCTCCCCCTCGGGTCACTTCACGGCTGCCGCGATTACAGAGGGCAAACACGTAGATGGCCTCTCCTTTCGAGCAGGCACAGTAACGCAGGCTGAATAGGTTGCCATAGCTTTGGCCGCCTCTCACCCTGCCTCACGCACCATCCTGACGGACTCGCACTCGGCCTGTTCTCAGTACCTTCAGGGTCCCATTGCCCCGCTGGCGGCTAGCCTGCTACAGGCAGCCTCTTGGCGCTTTAACCCTAATCCCATACGTATAGTCTGGACCCCAAGCCACTCGGGCCTGCCCGGCAACGAGGCGGCAAATTCCGCTGCCCGCGCTTCTCCTGTCCGGGCCATTGTGCCTCCATGTCCCGAGACGGAATCTGGCAATACCAACCTGACGAGCTTTCGCGAAGTTTTGGCTTATTACTGGGCTTCGCGCCGCCTCTATACCCGGACCCCGCACGCGGTTTGGAGAAAGCGGACGAACGACTGCTACGTCGCCTGCAGACGAACAGTTTTATCAGTCCGGCGGTCGCCAGGCACTTTTTGCCGGAAATCAATGACACCTTCTCGACCTGTCATGTCCTCGCCGACACATATCACGTCGTAGCATCATGCCCAGTTAATCCCGTCCCTTTCTCACCCCCTTTTCCTATCCCAACTAGAGAGGCTTGGGAGGAGCACCTGCTCGGCTGCTCTACCTTGGCTGCACAACGCTCCTTGGTGGAGCGCGCACGGGCAGCTTCCAGCTCCACTGGTGTCTCGGAATAGGGTCTTGCCACTCTAGCACGCCGATCGTCCACGTCGGCACTCTCTAGTAGACTTTTTTTGAAATAAATGTTTTTTACCGCCTACCACCACCACGCCGGCGGAGGGTTTCCTGCGACGCGAACTCTTTAACGCTATCGCGTTAATACTAGGTGCTTTTAGCTCGTATGCACACTTCTTTACGTTACTGGATGCCGCATAGAATCTGCGCATGCGTGGGTCTTTACGCAGCGTAAACCTTTACGTAACTTGATCTACTCTCCGAATTGGCTTCACGTCAGCGGCCGTGTCTCTTGAATACACCCTTGTTCGTAGAAACTAGTGATATCCGCAGAGCGCAGACTCGAGCCGTATAGTCAAAATAGGTGTAGGTGTGAGCGCCAATAGAGATAAACAATAAAATGAGGGAAAATCAGGGAAGTTAACAAGAAATTGGAGCATCCGGTTTTCTGTCTTGCACCAGGGGACGAAAGATGTGAACGAAAGCGAAGAGAAATAGACGGGTGAAAAAGAACAAAGGGAGTGGAGTGCTATAGCCTATTCAATAGGCCAATACCACGCAAAAGTTCAATAAGGCCTTTACTAATTTTTTGCGCGAAGACCGATCATATCGGCTTTCAAGCACTGACCATTCTCACGAGGGTCCGTCGTCAAGGCGAGCTACTGGAGCAGCTGGCGGCTTTCATTGCACGCTTTAACGTAAGGAGTGAGAGAGAACATACTCTGTTGTTTCATCGCTGCCACAACGATTGCAAGCAGCACTATCTTTCATGCTGATTCAGAAGGCGAAACCTGGTGAAAGCGACACTAAGACAGAGTCGGCTAATCACCGTCGTCTCAAGTCTCGAGTCTGGATGGAGGCCAAAGTCGACAAGCCGGGTCCAGCCTATGCACTCGCGTGTGCCGTAAGTTCTAAATGTTTAACAGAGATTTACTTCTTCATCAGCAATTTTCATCTTCATCAGTCACATCAAACCTTCAGGATCGAATACATTCTTCTTCACCCTCTTGGTGTGCTGATCGAGCAGCTGCATCAGCATATTCGTTGCCCAATATATCGCCGTGACTTGCAAGCCACTGAAACGTGATGTCGTGTCCTTCTTCGAAGAGCTGGTGGAGCAGCTCTCCAATTTCCAGCACCAGTTGTTCATGAGGTCCCCGGCGTAAGGCGAATGGGAAACACTGTAGTGCTACCTTGAAGTCCACAAACGTGCTCCATTTCTTGACGGGTTTGTGCTGAATGACTAACTGAGCTACGTAGAGCAGCGAATACAGCAGTTGTTGATGTCTTCTGGTGAGATAGCGGAATCTTCATCGTTGCCGCTGTTGCAGGAAAGATCACCGACCCTCCAGACCTATTCACTGTAGTTGAAGCGTCAGTATATTGATGCTTAGCTCGCTGTACTTGTCATACAACAAGAAAAGAGAAAGCTGCTTCAGCCCTGTAGATGGTAGCCGGGGTTTTGACCGTATGGCTGGGACCGTGAGTTGAGCCTGTGGATGGGTGATACACCACGGGGGAGTTGCAATTACGGACGTAAATGTATATCCTGTGGGTATGTGTATACCTAATGACGTGACTGTCTGGCAAACCGAGGCATGAGGTT